ATATTTTATAGTTTTTATTCGTTGATGAAAGTAGCGATTTTATCATAGTTTTGCCTTTGTGCATTTATTTTTATTTAATCACTTTGTTGTTTTCATCAGAAAAAAGGTTATTAATGAAAACTAGTTAACCATGTCACAGAGTGCTTGAGCCTTTGGATTCAGCTGTTATTTTGCAGCAGTAATATTTATCAGTAAAACCCTGATTGGCAACAAATTGCTGCACAAAGATTATTTTTAGTTTTTATACTTTACCTACAGTTTGTGAATAATACAGTTTTATGTATAGTGAGGTGTTTTAATAGTGTTTTATTGCTTCCTTCGCTAAAGGAATAAAAAAAAATTTAACAGCATTTTTTGGTAACATAGTAGCTATTTATTTAATTATACAGTTAATAATATTTTACAATTATTCAGCCAGGAATGAGTGCAGAAAGATGAAGAAATCCACACAGAGTGAAGCAAACTGCAGGAGGCTGTCAGCATATTTAAAAGAATAAAAGACAGGTGGCACAAAATGGCACGTTACACTTCTGTAAAAGTCACTGCACGCCACTGCTTTCATAACATTAACCCTACACTGCTGAATCCTCCATCACAATCTTGGATCTTCTGCGATCACTACAGGGACAGAGGCGTAGGTGCTCCTCGGTGCAGAAGCAGCGCACACTACCGGATTATCTGTCAGTGAAGTGAGATGCTTCCTGGTTTAGCAAGCTCCTTATTGGGAGACTTTTGATCACAGTCTGAAATGACACCGGTAACTTCAGCACACACTGCGGCAAAGAGGGGTGAGCCATCAGAATAAAATAAACAGGAAAAGTTATCTACCCGCAGAAATGCATAAAACAGAAAAATATATCAACTCTGCATCAACCTCCCTTGATGCATCTGATTATGCTCAAACACCGATTTAAGTCCATTTAGCTTTTATTTCACCTCTTTAAATGCACTGACTGCAATGTTTTAGAGGCTCTGTTTTAAATGCAGAAAAACAAAAACTTCTGGTGGTTTTGACGTGACACCGTCTGTTTTTTTCTTTACTTTTCATCATAAATGTCTCACTGTCATAAAAATATTAAAATTTAAATAATTGTTAAAATGTCATTATGAATTATTTGTGGGACACTGAGACGAGTCCAGTCATGCAAAAATCCCAAAAGGTAACAGACATGGAAACTCTGAAGTGATAACAGTCAGAGAGAATCATCGAGACAAAGGAGAGAAGAATCCTGTTTTAATGTGTAAACCACTCTGAAAACAGGTGGCACAACTGGACCTGATAACAACACAGAGAAGAAAAGTGCAGCCCGGACTTGTGGCACTATTCATCCATCCAGCTGTAAAATCAATAACCGTCTCACACAAACACAGCAGAGATGAACCTCTGTAACTGAGGACTGAGCTTAATAAAGATAGGACAGGAGGAGACGCAGCGAGGCGTCCAGAGAGCCGCACAGGGATGAACAGACAGAAAGGGGAAGGCTAATAGGAAAACAGGAGATTTGGGGCAAAATCCATGTCCTTCCACCATCACTCTGGCTGCTGCCATCATTCATCTTCATCAGCAGCTATGGGTATTAATCAGCATTTAACAGCGGCATCGATCAGGCGCCACCTTAGAGCTGCGGCTCAGTCGTGCATCTCCTATCGAGATTTGTAAGAGCAAAGCTCTAAACGTGACTATTGATCTGTGGGGCAGCTCTGCTCCTCTGCGCCGGGATCACACTAAACAACTCTGTTATGGCGCACACTGCTGGTTTATCTGTGCAATTAGTTTTGATGTTACAGCTCACCTCAGCGGATGTGCGCCGCTTTGATTATGAGCACATAACAGGCCATATAACTAGCTACAAACTCCTCTTAATCCCAGTAAAAAATATCCTTCAGGCTGTTCTGCATTTTATATATGCGCTCAGGCCGACTGTGGCATGTTTAGAAAAATGAATTTTTTCTTCCTCGTGACTCCTGGAGGTGTCAGAGCACTTGTCGCCTGACTGATTTCACAGCAGCTTCATGAGCATTTAAAAGACTCCAGTAAAAGGAATGAAGTGAAGATGTTGTTTAACTCTGATCTAGTTTGAGTGGGCACATTTAAAAGTTAATGTATTTCCAACACCCAATTCTACAGGCACTTTGAGAAAAAATTATTATCATGGGGTTCACATGCTTTATGATTATCTGGTATATATTTATCATGTGCACCATCTATTCCCAACTGAAGTCATTCAAATTTTACCTTCATACTCTGAATATTTTTATAGAAGAAGGTTGTAACTTGGAGCCTTTTTATTTACCTCGTTTATTTTTTATAGAATATTGACCCATCATAAAAATTCAGAAATACAAAACACGCACAGAAAATTTCCAGAATGAAAAACACATTTGAGCATTTCTACGACGTAAATGTTACTGAGATGATGGAAGCTGAACGAGAACTTTCACATGCTCTGTCTTGGTTTGAACAGCCACCTATTCCATAAAAATCCACGGCTTGTTTCTCCTCCTCTGTCACAGACTGCGAGTCGCTGCAGTTTTGCTACTGAAACGATGATACCTCATGAAACAAAATTGTCACGGCAGGGTGCGCCGATGTGTGTGGAAACAGGACCCAAAAGCAGATGATGACGAGGAGTTGTAAGGTTAAACAGAAAAGTGAAGCTTTATTTAAATGACGGCAGGGATAAACCAGGAAACCAAAACAAACTGGCAAAACACTAAGAGATACTAAAACCAAAAACTATAACTGTGGAGAAAATAAACAGGCAAAGACGACCGCTAAGGTCAACATAACAAACAACCCGACAATGACATGCAGAAAACAAAGGGCTTAAATACATACAAGAGCTGATCAGGGGAAGTGAAGACACATGGGGGAACAGCTGACAAACATAACCCTAATGACAGGACCAAGAGAGAGTGAAACTAAATACAATGACCAAAGAACACATGACACTGTCAGAATAAAACAGGAAACACTGAAAACTAAACATGACAACACAATAAGACAGACCTAATACGTGATGAATGAATACAAAACCCCAAAACATAGAAAACCCAGGAACAATGACCAATAACTGCCCAAACTAAAGGCAAAATAGGAAATAACCCAAAAACTAATAACATATCAAAAAATGAGAAAAATACAAAGAGAACTCAGAGTGCTGGGTCGGAGACCCAGCCTGTGACAAAAATAACCTGAAAAAGGGCAGATTTCAGCCTTAGAACTTAAACAGTGCTATTTTTTAACTCACCCATATGTTCAAGGGCTGGACTCGGAAAATATTCATAGCATGAAGGTAAAATTTTGCATAACTGGCACAAAAACAAATCAACCAGCTGGAACGGAACATAACTTAAAAATGAAACCATATGCACAGTAAAGTGATGTCCTTGTAGATGACAGCGGGAGGAGGAAGAAAGTGTGTGTGCACTTCAGAAATAGTTCAGACTTTGACTAACCGGGTCACGAATTCTCTCCAGAAATGGCTGATGAGCTTTCAGATGTATTTCGTGGCAGTTTGAGTAAGTGCCATTTAGTTAAATGATATTCAAGAGAACATAGATGTCTACAGCCAGGTAATATATTCAATGCTGTGCAACACACACCAAAATATGGATAAACAGCACTGTGGCCCAGAGAAGTAATTTAAACTCAGACC